TGCCTCACAGCTACCGAGACATTAAAACCAGAACGCAGAGTGCAGCCCGGCTGCCTTTGAGGAGTTAATAAAGGGCCTTCTCGCAAGGCACAAGGCAGACACTCGAGTGCTGCTGCAGTCTCCCAATCCTTTGGCACGTCTCCGCTCCTGGGAGCGGGTGCGCGGTGACCTGCCCCTGCTCTCCGYGGTGCATTTGCTGCCAGTGTCTCTCCAAGCTCCTGCCACCACCGTCAGCTCGGCGGCGAGCGCGGCCACGCCGGACAGGGGCGCAGGAGAGGGGCTGCAGGCAGCAGCTTCCAGGGAAATAGGCCCTGGTCCTGCCAGCGGGCACGTGCACGTGGCTTGAAATCCATAGTCGTGCTCGTGGGCATAAAGCGGCAAGTGTTTGTAAGAGGACCAGTGTCTTAACACGAGCGGACACCAAAGCCCATCTAAGTCAACAGGCTGCTCCCAACCATAGTGTCCTTTGTATCATTATCGCTTTTGTTTTTCCCTCTGGTATTATAAAAGACACTGTTGGATGGGGTCACTGAAGGGATAATGCCACTCGCCTTCCTCAAGTAAATAATTCTTGTTGCACATATTGGTGCTATATGCTGTTTTCTGGAATCCTAGCAATTCTAAATAACTCCTAAAAGCCTCGTGGAACAAGAAAAGCAAACCTGCTTTGCCTTCTTGCAGATTTACTATGTGATGCTTTTACTTTCCGCTCGGGCTTGGTTCGTGGGTTGGAGAGCTCAGTTTCCCCTGAGTTTTTGAGCTGGCTGGCATTACTCTCATGCCAAAAGATTTCTCTTTTTCCCCTGGAACAGCATGCTGCAAGGTTGGCTTTCTAACCACCATCGAGGTGAAAACAGTAACATCATAACAGAAACATCATAATCATGTGTATGTTTCATTTCAAAATCCATACGTAAAAAAGCTACCCCTCCCCGCCCTTCAGATGAATGGACCATTTTAACTGAAAACCCGAATTTTCAGTGCTCCTAAAATGGCTCCTGCTAACTCACTCTTGCAGGCAAAGCCGAGCAGCTGTCTACAAGCAAGATCCTGCCGTTGCTTTGGGGGATTGTGAACTGTTTGGCACATACCGCGTGGCACATTACGGAGGCAGCAGCCTGCTGCAACCTCACTGCGCTCTCCCCTCAGGAGCAACCTGCCGTCTGCAGCGGCACCGAGGGCGGCAGAGAGGGCACAAATCCAGAGGCGCCGGTGGGGCGGAGGCCCTCGCTTCCCACCCAGACTTGCTCACCTCCGAGCAGAGGCCCTACAAACGTTATGACAAATGTTTAATGACGGGACTCCCTCGGCACGCTGGCCAAGGCTATAATTTGATGCTGGGTTTTAGCAGGTTAGGCTCGTGCTGCCGCACTCCCTGGCCACCATGGCGCTTCCGCAGCCGACCCTTTGGGCCCATCTGGGGCGCCTCTGGCTGATCCCCAAATTGCCAGGACTGTCCCCAGCCTCTTCCCTATCCATCCCGGGAAAGGGGAAGCATGCTCTGCAATACGCTGCGGATGGAGGAAGGGGAGCTGGGGGCCCTTTCCAGCAGAATTGCGTTTCCCATTTTGCTAATGCCCTGCACAGCATCTGGCGCCTGACGGAAGGGCAGATGCAGGARCGCCAAGCAAGCAGAGTCCGTCTCTGGCCCGAGAGCCCAAGGCTGCCCCATGGGCAAACCCGCCCAGGGCTGGTAGCTGGGGTGGGCACCAGGCTCCCAAAGGATGGGGGGCAATGAGCACCTGGTCCCATCCATGCCGGGATGGAGCCCAATGGGCAGCACCTGCCCTGCGATCCATGGGGTGTCCTGCAGTGCTCGCTGTGTCAGCAGGCACCATGGGCTGGTTTCTCTTTCCAAAAAGGAAGGAAAACAAAAAACAAACAAACAAACAAACAAACAACAACAACAAAAAAAACAGAAAAACAAACAAACAAAAAAAAGGAACAAGAAACACCAGAAACAAATGCACTATGTGTCTGATTACTGTGCAGTTAGCGCTGCAACAGTCAGCAGCTTTGAGGACTCTTTTTGTGTGTGATTTGATACGTAAACCACATTTCCTATGCAGCACAGTGCTGCCACAATTTTTTTTTTTAATCATCTTTTCGACACTGAGCTCCATAACAGTCTCTTTTCTCCTTACGCACCAGCACGGATTCAAAGGCAGCAAATGCAGYGAAAATGTAATGCTGCTCATTTTGCCTTTTTCCAACCATCCAGTTTTCATTAGAAATAGGGTAAAACAAACACGGATCCCGTTTTCCGTGCTGCAGTTAAAAGCCCGCCGCTGCTGAAAGCTCCGCTTTCTTCTCCTTGCCCTGCAGCCTCGGCTCGCACTCACGCTCCGCTCAGGATCTCAAATGTGCAAGCGCGCCGTTTCTTGGCTCCCCACCAGTGTATATAAATATATGTAATTTTTTCCTTCGGAGGACCTGGAGGCTAGAAGCAAGAGGGCAAGGGAGTACGTGACTAAAGCATCCGCACTTCCTCTTTCATAAGGCATCACATGGTGGAGCGCAATTACAATTCCTGCCTTGTCGCTGCCAGTTGCAGGCGCGTTGCCTCACCCGAGACACCCCGCTCCTTCCGTGTGTGTGTGTGTGTGTGTCTGTGTGTGTGTGTCTGTGTGTGTGTCTGTGTGTATCTCTGTGTATCTGTGTGTGTGTGTGTGTAGGCAGCACTCGCTGCAGCGGGCCTGGCCGCCCGCCAAGCCCCGCGCTGCAGAACGAGGGCAGTGGGTGGAAGAGGAAAACAAAGATATGTTTACTTAGCATGCCTGCATGGAGCGCCTCTCCAGCGGCGGGAGGCGCGGCGCAGGCACGGCTGGCGAGGGCTGGGATGCGGGGCGAAGGGAGGCCGCCTTAACCCCGGCCTCGCCGGGCGCGGGGCTGCGGCGGCCGCCCCGTGGGG